AAATTTATTTTTATTAGATTTAATTTATGTTTCATTTCTTTTCTGCAGATCTGAAATTCAGCCAAGTAAGACGGAAGGTCTGGCTTGAGAAGTTCGAGGGTTGAAGGAGAGATCCAAAGACTGCGACCTCTGATCATATTCTCAGACATTTTTATTTTGTTCCTGTTATTTATTTATCTTTGTTATTTATTTATTCTTATGCAGTTGTTATTCTCAATACTATTCGAATGTGGTTTTAATGAATTCCATTTTTTAATTTATTAATTTTTTATTTCTACAACTCCCACTTGTGTTCTCTTCTCCCGGATCTATGCACATAATTATTTTTCCCTTGCTTCCCTGTGGATATGACCCGTTCTCACCATTTACTATGTTTATAGTTATCGTGAGAAACAGTAAATTTATAAATATTTAAATTGGTGTTCCAAAGTTTTTAACAACGCGCTTCCAAAAACACCATAGCTACCATCAATTTAAAGTACAAAGTCAATATGGCCAAGGACTTTTACCAAAACCAAAAGAGAAAGTAAAGCCAATGGTTCCAGGTAGGTTTGATAGGGGGTTCAAAATAAGAACAATGTAGAACTAGAATGATATTTTTGTCTAGATTTCCATTAGATGCCTTAATGTATCTTGTTGGTCAACATCCAAGATTTAATCATAACATACATAAGCTCTTCCTAGATGCACCACATCATTGCATGCATAATAGCTTTCTAGTAGAGATTGCCCATATTTCCCCACCTACAACTATACCAATGGTTAGTAAAATCACCAACTAAGTTTAGGGCCACCCTGTCTTAGCTGTAGCCTACAACCTCTGATGATATCTTAAAAGAATTGTCATAGACTATGCACTCTGTTAGGCTTGACTTTTTTTTTTGGTTGGGCTTGGGCTTTCTCTAAAAAGGTTGGCTTGAGCCATAATGATTATATATATATATATATATATATATATATATATATATATATATATATATATAGTATGTTGCTTTCGTTACTCATCTTCTCTTTTGTAAATCCATAATGAGATCTTTCATTATTTTTGGGTTTTGAGGTCTTTTGATGTAAAAAAATCAGTTTTGTTATTAAGATTTTTATATGAGGGTTAGGCTCGAACTCTAGATCTAAATCCAATGGTCAGGGTGAACTCGAGCTTAAACTTAAATGTATTATGTTAATGTAGAGACAAAGCCTGACCCATGAACATGTCTAGTTGCAGCTCTATTGGGTATGAATCGCAACTTTTAGGCTTACGAATCTCAAATGTAGGTGATTGTACAACACAAACAACAGGGGATACGTGAGGAGTCTCGGGATTGTAACAAAGAAGACAACAAGGATTTTTAGCACCGTTGAGTCTATCATCAAGTATATTAAGGACCTGTTCATTTCCTCTGAACTCTTATATCTTAGGAGGAATCTTTTAACTTTAAGAAAAAATGATTGTTCATTTCCTCTTATCTCTTAAAGTGCAATCATACAACTTTTTATTTTCCAATGATACCCCCAAAAAGACAAACAAAAACTCTCATATATGGGGTCAAAATGGATATTTGATAATTTTCAAAATTCAGAATTCAAAATTTAGAACAGCATTCTCTACATTCAGAGTTCAGAGGAAAGAAAAGTTCATCGGTGTCAATATACCTCTTAATGTAATTATTGCACTTTCAGATGTTAGACTTTAGAGCAAACCAATAGGCCCTAAGTTTATTCTACACATGGCAAGTTGCTTTTGATGTGAACTATTTCAATTGGTAGTTAAATTACACGTAAGAAATATTAACATAATTGGGGGGCATTTCTTAGTACAATGGTAAAATCTTGGGATGATCAGATGACAAACTCAATATTAGATTAGCTGAATAAGCAGTAGAATCAATAATAACGCCCCACACCACCAATGAGAAAATACATGGGACCCACATCATTCAATCTCTCACTTGTGGGCCCATGTATTTTGTGGCTGGTGTGAGGCCAAATCAGCCCCCACAAGATTGCCCCCCAACAACATCCCACAACACATTCCCACCGTGTATTGGGAACATCTCCATATGATAATCCCGTCATCATCCGGAGATGTTCCCAATACACGGCGGGGATGTGCTATGGGACGTTGTGGGGGGCTAATTTGAACTTGATTGGTGTAGAGCATTATCATTGGTTTCACAACCCATTGGTTCCATAGCTCATTAAATAGCCATCGTGTTCAGCTAATCCAATTTAGACAAAAGCATGATGCGAACGAACACAAGTTCAAGTTAGAAGACAATCCATGCTTAATAGAGGTGCTCACAGTTTGGTTAACTGAGCTATGACACTTTTTTTTTTAAATCAAACCGGTACAGTATTTTTTGGAAACTATAAACTAAAATTGAACCAAAACTAATCAGTTAACCAATTGATTGGTGTGGTTTTTGACTAGTTTGGTTCTTCCATTTTTTGGTTATTTTATTTTATTTTTTATAATGCATTTAAACACTCAAGTAAAGATGGCAATTTAACCCACCTCTGTTGGGGCTCCGACTTACCCCACCTTGATCAGGGCAATTTTTTTTTTGATTGTTGATTGAGTTCAGAGCGGGTTTTAGGGTAACCCAAACTCTAATGATCGGGGACAGGGTGGGGTGGTATTTCACCCCAATCTAGCCCTAACCCCCAATAAATAATTTTATTGATATTATAATATGACACCTATAATACATATTATATATAATATTTTATATTATATATTGTATAAAATATATTTTAGGGAAAATTCCCGATAGGCACTCTGTACTTTAGGCCAAATGCCAATTTAGTACCCAAACTTTAAAACGTGACAATCTAGTATGCGAACTTCTAAAATGTGACAATTTAGTACCTACTGTTAACCATCCGTTAAGTGTTATGGGAAAAGACATAAATACCCTTCAAGTGTCATCTAATTTTCTTTATCAACCTTCTATACGATCCCAACTTCTCACTAACCAACCCAGACTGGAACATGTTGTAGTTCGCTTGGATGCCTCGGTTCACTTGTGTGATAAAATTAAAAGGCGTACTTGCCCCATTATATTTTCATAAATTTTTGAAATTTAAAAAAGTATAAAAAAGAAATTAAACGCAGAGATCAACTACCGTGTGTGGGATAAAGACGGATCAAGAGGGGAAGGATATGTGAATGTGGCAGTGAGGTGGGTCGGCCCAGATTATAGTTCCATTCTAGCTGTATGTCTTGAGAAACCTGCACCGGTCAATGGTCTGAGTCATGTAACCCACTTCCTAGGTTTGGGTGCGTGTGGGATGGCCATTGGCATTCCAGTGAGTATGTTCACTTTGCTTGGGAAGCATCAACCGACGTTTTAGAGGTCGCATGCGAGTGGTGACTCTGATTGTTGTAGAGAAGTTGGAAGGAAGGCGATGGAGTGGGAATAGAGGTTGGCCAGTGCAACAAAGTCAAAACCATGCATGACGTGCTTGGTGGACGTTTCAGAGGTCGCATGCCGGCGGTGACTCCGATTGCTGTAGAGAAGTTGGAAGGAAGGCAATGGAGTGGGAATAGAGGTTGGCTAGTACAGCAAAGTCAACACCACGCACGGTGTGCTTGGGCGGACATTTCAAAGGTTGCATCTTGCATGCTAGATCCAGATTCTCAGGGTTCAAGACGATTTCATGGTCTGCATTCTCTTCTACCTCAGATCCACGAACGACATGCTTGGATGGAGCTTAAGATGATTTCAGATCCAGATTTTCATGACCAATACAATAGACCTTCATCTTCTTCCTCGTCTGCATTTTCTTCCGCCTCATCTCCAGATTCTCAGGATTCAAAGACGTTGCTGCATTCTCTTTCTCTCTCTCGATTAGGAGCGTCAAGCGTGGGCCATGGTGGCAACTATAGTGGTGAACTGAAAACACCACCCCTCCCACTGGTCATGGTGGCGGCCAATAGCGAACCCTGGACTGTTGAGAGCTTGTCTTGGGCTCCATTTCATTTTCTTGAGAAAGAAGATGATGAATAGTGTGTTTTATTTTGAAGGGTAATTTTGGTATTTTCAAAAGTCTTAAATTGCACATGAGGTCATGTGATATACATAACTGATGGTCCATTAACGGTAGGTATTAGATTGCCACAAAATGAAAATTCGGGTACTAAATTGGTACTCRGCCTAAAGTACAGTGTACCTATCGAGAATTTTCCCTATATTTTATATAATAGATAACACTTTATAATCAACCTTAATAAACATTATCAAAAATAAAATTTTAATGAAAATTAATATAGTTGTGTGAAACAATATACACCGCTAAAATAATGATTTGGATGGATTTAATATGACTTAACACAGTTAGGAATGAAATAAGACTTCTTCTAACTCATTTACTCATAACAAATCCCGTGCATAGCACGGGTTCTGACTACAAATATTTATATTTTTAAATTGGGCTATAAAGCCCAATAAAATATGTCTGTACAAAATTTTATTTATAAATTCATTAAAAACCAACCAACCCAACCAGGACCGACGAAAGCATGGCCTGAGCTTACCAGAGTTATGTTGGCTTAAGCTTGGGTTGATAATTTTGGGCCTGACCTCAGGTTGAGCTAGGCCCAAACCCGAGGTTTGCATCTTTAAGCTTGGGTTGCATCAATCCAACCCAACCCACCCTATTTTCATCCCTAATATTGTTTCTATCCTTGTCAAGACTCCAGATGGTGATGACAATGCGCCTCTTTGGCTCTTTACAGGGGCTACCAATTAGGTTGGCTCGGTAATGAAATGGGCTTGGGCTGCATAGTTGGCTCGAGGGACGGTAATGAGTTTGGGACTAGGCCCATATCACCCTCATCCAATTTAATCATAACCTCAACCGTTCGATTGGAATCCTCGGGATCCCGTGCCATGGCTATGCGAATACAAGATTACGAGTTTGCAAGGACCAAGGACAAGGAGGGACTGAAGGACGATAATCATACTACTTCCTGAGAAGGATAGATTAGTAATTTCATCTCGGACCTGTGTTACCCGCTCTTTCCTTTCTCTATTTCCCGCCAAGACCTCTCTCGCCGCATTTCCTTCCTCTCTTCCGTTCCGGTAGCTCCGTTCTCCGATCTCCGATCTCTTCTGCTAAGCAGGAACTTCTTTTCCACTCTATCAGTAGGTATGGACATGGAAATGGACATTCCCCTCCCTGAAGAGATGGAATGGCTCGAAAATCAAGCTTTTCAAGAAGAAGACGAAGAAGACTTCTACTACCCTGAAGAAGAAGAAGATGAGCAAGAACAACTTCCACAGAAACAGCAACAGAGACCTCCAGAGCCTTCTCAAACGTCTCCACCCAATACATCAATTGCTACCTCCCTGTCTAAATCAAGCTCCGTTGCCAATCACTCTGCACTTCCCGAAAACCAGATCAACGGCAAGAAGCGGCAGTGGGCTGGAGCGGACGGCACGGATGCATCGTCTACCGGCAAGGCGCCATCAGAAGAGAAACGGAATAGAGTTGCTCCTCATGAGCCTGGAATGGACGAGGGTTGGCTTCGGTATTCGCCGTCGAAGGAGAGAGCCGATGTGGCACCGGCGGTTGTTGAACAGGAGAAGTTTATTTCTCGGTTTGCATCGGAGATTGAGGGAGACTGCATTTCGATAACTGGACCTTCCGGCGACAGGGTTTATGCTAAGATTAATCGTTTCGAGACAAATGATGTCAAAAGGTTAAGCATAGACGGACATGCGAACGGTAGGGCAGTCAGACATCATTTTCCCCTCCCCCTTTTCAGAAAATATTCCGTGTACAATTTATATGGTATATATTTGCTTTAGTAATTATTCTTGCTTGTTGGTGCAATTTCTTAATTAGCGAAGAAAGAATTATGAATTCAAGCATAACTGTGGGTTTTAACTGTATAAGTCGATCCCTTATAGTTGTGGCATAAGGCTTTGTTGAGTTGAGTTGAAGTTAGATATGGGTTTGGTGTTAGAATAACTTGATGTTTAATTTGACATTTTATAGATAACTATGTTGTAATTAGTCTAAAAGAAAAGAAAATGATACATGATGTCGTAACATGCATAATTCATTTTTAAATCAACGGATGCTAATCATTTTGGTATGTAATGCTAGACTTTCAAGCTTAGTTTGCCGATTGCCAAATTAAGTAAATYTGTTAATCATTCTAAGTCAAAGTGCAACAATGAGTAATTCTCTTCGTATAACAACGATCAGAGAAGTTAATTATAAACAGCATGAGAAACTCTGCATGCAGGAGTAAGTTATCTTCTTCCCTATATGCGGAATTTCTCATGCAGGAGGTTGGTTAAAGAAAAATACAATGAGAGACAAAAAAGAAAAGGAAACAAATAACACAAAGTAAGAGAATTTGGCAAACTGATAAAAAAAGGTAAGAGAATTTGGCAAGACTTATCCTTTTGGACGATCTGTCATTGTTCCTTACTGAACCAGCTTCAAGCGAAACTGTTCCTATTGGGCAAGACTTATCTAAGTGGCAGGGGTTGATTTCTAAGAATCCTGTAGTGGAGATTAATAAAGATCGAAAGGTGACATTCATTTCATTTCTGATGGTTGCTTCAAAATCGCTGATTTTTGGAAGCAGCACATGAGCAAAGGGTTAAGAGGGTGGAGGAGCTTTGTTCTTGGCACTTTGAAGTGGAGAAAAGGAGTGGTGTTCAAAAAGCATCCTAGAGGAAAAAGGTTCAGGGGTGAGGAAACAAATAAGGAGATTTGGGAATGGGTAGTTACAAGGTTTGACAAGAAGAAAGAGTCAAGTCGTTCGATGGATGATGAGAAGAGTTGCACAATAAAAGTTGGGACAACTATTGTGGATAAAAAAACGGAGTGCAGGTAGGGTGGTAAGGCAGTTGAGGGTGGTCATCCCTAAAAAACAGAGGATGATTGGAGGTCTATGTAAGTGAGGGAGTCTTAGTGAAGGAGATAGGGTATCACAAAGGAGGGAAGGAAGGTTAGGAAGCAAGGGCTCTCTTAAGGCTCTCGAGACTGATCTCTCCCAAAGACTTTCGAGTCTCTCCCTTATATAGGGAGATTGCTGAGTCTATAACGAGAAACATACAAATAAGGACCTTTTTCGTTGGGAAAGTGGATTACGATTCTTTTGGAACCTAGCGGGTAAGCCTTATCAGGGTTTTGCCACGTGTCTAGTGAGGATTGTTTGGGATTGGGATTCCCCTTCCCTTGAACAAAGCTCTTGGGGTGATGACATGTCTTGGTGACATGGCCCATTGTGATAGGTGAATTGTTGCAGGACATGTACTTAAGCATGAGACAAACTCTATATGTTGGAGCGTCAAGCAATGTTGTCAAAATCTTATGATTTATGATATGATTCATGATTTGATTCATGAATCCCAAGGGTTTTGATTCAAATCTTATGTCTGAATCCTTTTCTACAAAAATCTTACGATTTTTGTTTGAATCCTACGATTTGATTCATAAATCTTACGATTTTTACGATTCACTATGATTCAAATAAATTCAATTAAAAGCTAATTCTCTACTTTGTTTTTTTCTTTTCTTGTTTATGTTTAGTTTTGCCATGGGAGACTTTTTTTAAAGCCTATACTAGAAAATGATGTATTTACATTATTCAAGACTAGAAATTGAGTTTATTTTCTATCATATGTAAGTTAAAGGGCCATTGTATTTAGATTTGTTTGATTTTCAAGTCAAAACATGATTATATCATCTTAGGCTTCTATTGTATAAGTGATAAATTCTCTTGTTTTAAGTACATATATGGTAGATATAGATAAAAAAATAGGACAAAATCACTTTCCTATATATATTTAGCCTTTTAACATATCTATATTTAATTTTTTTGACAAGTTTGTATGAAATAGAAATAATCTTACGATTTATGATACGATTCACGATTCGATTCAATTCAAACTTCTCTACGATTTACGATACGATTACGATTTTCAAAACATTGGCTTCAAGTGGCTATGGGCGATGTGTATAGGACATAACAGGCGTAAACGATCGCGTTTGTCACTCACTTTGAAGTGATTCTTAGTCATCGCCAAGGTCTGCGGTTGTGTTTGCTCTGCAAATTTGTTGACAAGCGCAATGCTCATCGCAGGTTCTATGGTGATCACCTTTGTATCATCATGATCCTCGTCGCAACCCCTGCAATGCTGATCTACATGAACTTACACAGAGAATTTGGGTAAGCCAAGTGAAATGCTAGAAAGGGAGATAATGACCTCTTTGGAAAACTCTCTGGGAGGCACTTTTGATGTTACAGGCTTGGTTAGAGAAGGGGACTTTGTGGTGGAAGCTTTAGCTCCATTGGAATCTGACTTTGCTATTGATGTGGTAGGCTTGTAGGGAAGTTGTGCAGGGGAAGTAAAGTTGAGTATCTCTAATGGACCTTTGAGAGCAGCTTTGGAGGTTAAAGGAGTTTGGAATTTTGAAGAGGAAGAAAAAACAATAAATAAGGAGAGAAGGGTACATAATCATGAGGGTGAAGAGGAGCCTAGGAACAATGGTTGCAGGGAGATAGGGGGAAAATTGTATGAGAGGAAAAAGAAATACAGAACGATGGTAACAAAAGAGGATGAGAATAGAGGTGAAGATGAAGTTTTCATTGATAAGACTTATGTCATTAGGAAAATAGTTGACTTGGAGATAGTAGTGAACAAAGGTGGAGGTAAATAAATCTTTGGGTTTGGTTTTTCTTGCGGGGGGGGGGGGGCGATTTGCAAGGAAAAGCATCAAGTAATTGGAGGAAAGGTACCCTATGCCTCTAGAGGAAAGAAACAAAGATAGTTTGGATCCTAGTTAGACAAGCTCTATTGCAAGGGTTGAAGATGACGAAATTGGACTAGGTTCGCCTGGAAATATAGGGACTGATATCCATGAGGATGGTGAGCTGGTAGTAGAGAGGACTTTTGAGAATAATGCACTTTGGAGTTGGAAAGTATCATTGATCATTCCATTCATAGGTTCTTGAGAAAATCCTTAACATAATAAAATGTTTCGTAAGTTAGAAGAGTTGACAAACTGTCTAAGTGTCAAAAGTTTTTGCTAGATTGAGAAGAGATTTATTTGGAATGGGGCCCTTAAAAAACCATTAAGAGAAGCAAAGTGGGTTTTGGTAATGTTGAGATTATGTATTGAGGGTAGGGGCATTATTGTCTTCCTATTTTATTTGTACTTGGACACCCATTTAGGGGCATGAATGTAATTTTCATTATTAAGTTAAAAGAGAACTTTTTGGGTATGAATTGTAACACACCTTATTCTCTTGAAACTTTCTCTTCCTCCCAAACTCTTCATTTACAACTTGGTATCAGAGTAGGTTGGGACCTTGGAAGAGCTTCCTTTATCAACCCTCGAACCTGGGAAGAACTATCGATGTTAGATTGTTGCCGGTTGACGTCAATAGTCCGTATAGGTGCTAGTGACAACCCTTGAATCTAGATCTGTTTAGTGCTCTGATTTTTGGAAGATTTTGATATGGGTCTTATCTCCGCTTCCATTGTTTTGATTGGATTTTTCAGTAAAAAATTCTAGAAAAATACATGTTCGATGTTTGGGATTTTCTCTTCCCATATGAGGTTGCTCCCTGCTTGAGATCTCTTGTAGGAATGACAATGGGCTTGGGGGTCATATTCCCCATCCTCGACTCCGATTTTGAAATTAATCCCCATCCCCGTCCCCGATCCCCGATGGGGATAAAAGTTGTCCTCCATCGCTGATCCTCAAATTTTTTTAGATAACATTATTTTTTGAAAAATAAGTTTACTTAAAATAAATAAAAATTTTAAAATATAAATAATGTTTTAAATATATTTTGATATATATATATAAATAATATCATATATAATAATATATATCTCATACAAATAATATTTAAAATATATATATATATATATATATATATATATATATATATATAATCAGGGTTGGGGCAGGGCAAGGACTTCATTCCCCATCCCCGACGTTGGGTACCCCGACAAGGATGGGGAAAATTTCCATCACTATAATAAAGTGACACATCATACTAATTTCTTTTACGTTGCTAAAGTCTTTAGGCTCAATTTGGAAGGAGTACAAATANTATATATATATATATAATCAGGGTCGGGGTGGGGCGGGGACCTCAATCCCCATCCTCATCCCTATCTCGCCAAAGCAATCCCCATCTTGGACCCCATTGAGTTAGGGAAGTTGGGTCCTCGTTAGGATTGGGAAAATTGCCATGCCTAATCTCTTATCCTCAGGTTGTTTTACTTTTTGGAGGTATGGGAAGTGGTTCCACATTTTATGAACCCTGGTTTTTTTTTTTTGGGAGAATTTAATTTTATTCTCCTTTATATTGTTGCAAACTTGGGTTTTAGCCTCCTGTTGGCTCCCAACCAAGTGTTGACCTATTTTGGTGGGTCTGTTGTGTGCTGGTTGGTTGTTGGAGTGTTGTAGGGCTAATAGAGTTGCTAGTCCAAGTCTAATGGAATCATCTAAATACAAATTGTTTCTGGAGTGCTCTTGGGCAATGTTGATTAGGGGTGATCATTCTTGGCCTGACCCAACGTACAACTTTCCGGGCCTGGGCTCAAACATTTGTGTGTAGGCTTGGCCTGGGCTCGGGCCCACATCAAGCCTAGAAAATTCAGGGCCAGGCTTGGGCTTAATACTTTAAGCTTGGCCTAGGCCCGACTTGACCTGCCAGTATATTTTATTTTATATTAAATGTTTATTAT